ATTCTGACAAGGAGAGTCGCCTTACTGCGCGACAAAGCTGCAGCCTACATCCCTTGAACATTTCTCTAAAGCCTAAACCAACACTGAATACAAGTGTACATCTTTCACCACTAGTAAAGTTTTTTATTATCTTGCAGCCCTGTGTCTTGTATGGAATAGTCTAATATGTCCTTCGGCTTTCATTGTGAACTCTACATCCAACAACAATGCTTTTATGACCACCATGTAACAATATCTGGGAGTAGTTCATTTGATGAAGCCACTGTCAAAAGTTACGATGTTTTGTTATCAAAAAGTTACTTTCGTTAACTAATTTCTCCGCACAAAAACCTGAAATTGGAACACCATTTCTTCTCCGTTTGTCGCCAAGACAGTGTCTCGGAAAAATGTATCTAGACAGTGAAGCCTAAGTAGCGATTTCCAAAGGACCATTTCCAAGGTCAAGAAAGACTTTTCCAAGTCAACAACACTGTTTCTCTACAGCCCCTGTCACACTGTCCCGAAATTGACACCAGATGGACACACGATAAAGGAAATGTTCAAATTCGGCTCTGATCGTAACAACATCGGGCCATTCGTGAGGGCATCTTAAGCCATCGTATGACCGCCGGTGGAGTTTCTCAGGCTCCGGCAGTAACTTCGTGAGCGGTGGCAAAATCTTTGGCATGCCAAAAAATTGCCAAAGGACCTTGCGAAGGTTCATTTTCGTGTTGAATCCTTGTGTCCATTCTGCCCTTCGTAAGGCCATCGTGAGGGCATCTTGTCAAATCGTGTCATCTTCGTCTTTACTTCGTGTGATCATCGGTGCCATCGGGCATTTTTCGCCTCACGAAGACAATACGAAGGAAACAAGAAGCTGCCCGATTGTCTTAGGAAGGCAACACGACTACGTGAAGCCCTCGCAATGCCGTCATGTAGCCATCGTATTATAGTACGATGACATCGAGATAGCATTTATTGCACAATAAAATCATGTAAACATATTATGTAAATAACCCAATTTGTGTTCTGTGAAACTGAAAAGGATATTACATTGTTTTTGTTACTTTCGTTGCAGTTGTCTTAAATGTAATTTAGGTTAACTTCCTGTTTTATTTAGATGCTTTTATTTTGAAGGCGATTTTACGCTTTTGACAGGAAGTTGTTGTTGCTATGGAAACAACATGACGGAGATAAGTAATATCTTCTAATCTACATATAAAGACGGAGAAAGTAAAGAATAAAGTGTATGTTTAAATGTTAGCACCCCCCGAAGAGGCACAAGCTCTTACGTTGAGTCTGGATACATTCTAAACACATACATTCTAATTCAATCAAGTCTACGACCATATTTGTGTGTGTGGTTCGGGTGCCATCGTGTGGCCTTCTGTAGGCATCGTACTTGCTTCGGCTGTTGCTTGGCTGTTGACCAACTTCGGGGCCATCTTCGTGCGAAATTCACAATTCCATATTCGTGTGTCCATCTGGTGTCAATTTCGGGACAGTGTGACAGGGGCTTACTCGATCTCAAAGATTATATTGTCTCTTTTAAAACAACTGTATTATTTGGTCTAAGAAATGTCAGAAAAAAGTCTAACATTCTGGTTGGAAAGATGAATCAATCATATATCATTACTGAATAGTTGCTGAATACATTTTGACTCAAGGCTCCATATTTACACATATTTCGGGTTGCACAATCTCCATCATAAGCACTTTGCTAAATATTCTATCCAGATCAGCATGAATCAGCAGTTTGCCATCTGTGATCTGCTTCCTTCTCATTAATTGTCATTCAATGCCATAGCTTCATTATCCTAACAAAGGCCACATAGATATTAAATAATAAAGTTAGCATTTATATTGACATAAGGCTCTTTATCAGCCAATAAAACCAATAAATACTGTAAAAAAGAATTTAACGAGTCTGAATTGCGAGTCACAACGGCATCTCATACAACAGCGTCAGTCATTGAACACACAATCAAAACCTGTAAACAAAAAAAAACCTAAAACCAACAGTAAAGGAAACATAGGAAGGGTATTTTACACGATTTGTGCTTAGTCATTGGAGGCATTCTGATGAGTCATGCCGATGTAAAGAAGAACAGATTTACCCTGGTTTAGGTCACAGCTGTGTTTCTCTCCCACAGACAGACACCATCACTTATCCAATGGGCTGCCTTGGGTTTAAGATTTACACTAACGATTATAAATTCATAGATCAATCAATACACGGAGTCTGGCAGCCGAGACGTGTCCGCGCAGGCAGACACACACTCAGCAGCGGTCGCATCACAGGAATTCTAATGAGCGTGCGTGTGTACAGACATCAATACGCTGCAGCTTTACATTTCATTAGACCAAGGAGCACAGTTTAACTCCCAATGAATAGCAATAAAAACCACACAGCCTGAAACCATCTCCCATTTGCCTCAGCCTGGCTCCTTTTCTCTAATCCTCTATTCCTTCTTTCCTCCAAATTCTGTTTTGTACAAATCTAGTGTTGTTTTCCAATTTATTTGGAGGGATCTAATTTAAAGCTAAAACAAATCACATCCTGTGTCAGAGTAAAGGCACCAACATACTTAAAAGCTTTGTACACTGGCTGTAGTTGGATTCACTGCTGATTTATAGTAGTTTCTGTCCTTTCTGCGTCGATTGTTTTTCCAACCCAGTTTAGATTCAAGCACGCCCACTACAACAGTAGCGTAGCTCTGCGTGATTGCGTCATGGATGTGTAAAGAGAACGTCCCCACGTTAACAACGCTGAAGTCATATTACGTCTACTTTAGGTTGGTAAAAAAACAATATGGGCTTTATATCAGACAGTGCAAGTGTTAGCCTTGTTGAAAACCATTACAGCGGTCTTGGTCAAACAGAATATTTGTTGTCCTCTGACAGTGTTGGAAAGTAACAAAGTACATATACTCAAATACTAGCTACATATTGTTTGCTAGTTTATTGATTCTTGAATCCATGGTGAATTATTATTTAAAGATTCATTAATATTCACTTAGCTATGCTTAACTGTGATCTTGTTTCATATTAAAAAGCACTATTTTCATCTACTTTGAAAAAGATGCTCTATGAAATGACTGTGATTCATATTTCGTGGGATGAAAACACTCTGACGCTTTGTCAATGCTTTTGTCATGCAGAAGTGGGCGGGGTTAAATCTAAACTAAGTTTGAAAAACCACAGACCATATCCCTGCTCCTTCAGACGCCTGCATGTCACCGCAGCATCTGCATTGATCTGTGTGAGGACAGCATCAGCGTCCAGCATTCACCCTTCTCCCCCCTCCATCCTCGAGCACAGGAAGACACGCCGGCTGAGGGGAAATGGGATTCCGATCAGCGGGTATCATGCGGGATCTGCTGACCCCACACACTCCACAAACCCACACAAATCATCTGTCTGCACACAGACGCAGAGCAGGGGTCAGGCGCAAGGACTAGTGGGCCAGGTTTCAGTCGACTTAGCAAAACACCAGAGACAGGAAGCTGTGTAAGGAGGCTCGTGTGTGTGTGTGTGTGTGTGTGCGTGTGTGTGATTGTGTGTTGTGCACATTATCGTAGCCTATACGATAGCAGTTGACGGCAGCATTACTGCAACAGAGATTCAAAGTGCTTCAGAAGCGCACAGCCTAATGTTCAAACTGTCAAACTGTTTTCAAAAATTGCAGAAGATGAATATTTCAAAAAGATTTAATAGAATATGACAGAAAGATCGATGTAAACACAAAGACATCACTGTTTGAAATAAAGACATAAGCGCCTACAAAATGAATGTATTGTCTGCCTAAAACTTTCTTTTATATGTCATATTTAAATCCTGCCGCCGATGAAATGTTCATATCACTTTTATCTACTGTGTGTTATGTATGTATTTATGCATTTATTTGCATTCTTAGTTGACTGTTATATTTAGTCACCCGAGGTTTGGTGACACGGACACACTCATGAGATGTCCTGCTGAGGATAAAAGTAGAAAAAAAACACGGCTCGGTTGGATGTCAGATGAAGGAGCGGCTGATTGGCACACGTGCCGTGAGGCCTACTCAACAAGGGTACACACATACTGCAAACCCACAGGCACACAAACACACACAGGGACTGCATGCTGTGTGTATGCTGAACATGATGGGAAATGACTGCTTGCCTTTGATTGAGGGTAGATTGTGAGGCTCCAAGCACACTAACAATCACACAGATGCACACATCCACACAGAACATGGGTTTATTCACCTCAGGAGGCACATAAGGAATCATCTTTACCCACCTTAAAGCCACTCAGATACACTCCTATTGATATTACTGACGACACCATCAAACAACACTCAGCAAGATAAAAGCCACACAGTTTGAGTTTTGTCAAACCGTACCAGCTCTACACATCAAAAGTATCTGTTGATAATATTGGTTAATCATTTGATATAAACTTTCTGGCACATATATATTCAAAGATGATTATTGCACTGAAATTTGTGATGGCGAAACCATTTGTCAGTAATGCCAAAACCAATGACAAAAATGCATCGTAAAATGGCTTCAGAGTGAAAATGGTTTTCTGAGGCTCATGAAACACACGCACACACACATACTTTGTCAGGAGCATTTGAATACCCATTTTAGTCACATTCTATCAGTTTAGCAGTTTATCTCAGTTAACACTGTTTTATATCTCAAAATCTTCAAAATGTGTACGAAACATACAATGACAAAAGCCTGTCCACACATGACCAAACAACACTACTGTTACTTACAGAAAGACAACATGTCTTACCCATGATAATTAGATTCTTCATTTTTTATACTGTTGGCTTTGAAAAGAGTTTCTGAGCCAAACAGGATTGAAGGGATTATTGAAGGGAATTTTGCCTGTTTGAAGAGTTTTTAATCCTCTACTCCAAGTTTATATATCCATGAGTCATCAAAAATGAAGCTGCAGGTTTTTCATTTTTTCCGCTTCTACTTCTACGAACACACACACACAAACACACGCTTCAGGATGCCTACCTTTCTTATGCGTCCGCTGCGTGTGCCAGTGAACGCCACAGTGTGTCCCCGGTAGTCGTAGGCCGTCACAGAGGTCATGCCTTCGTCCTTGTCCACGTACAGAGGGATGCCCTCGATGGCGGTGGTGCCCCCTAGAGGCTGGTTGAAGTCCTGGCCGCAGAAGTTGTCGTCAATCTGCAGTGGCTGCAGTGTTTGGGGGGGGAAAGAAGAAGAAACAAAAGCCATTAACTCAACCATTAACACTTTTTAAATCCCTTTTCTCGTTAAACTAACATTAATTCTTACAGAAGGAGGAGGCTTTCGATCTCCCCGGCACTTAGTAGACGTTTTATGATGCTGGATTTGAGCCAAGTCGCTGCAGATTTACTGAGAAATGGTGTGAAATTAATGGGCGTCTCTGGAAAATTAACTTCCCTAACTCCCTTTATGAAAAAACTTTTCTGGAAAGTGATAAAAAAAGGGAGAAAGTGATTTTTATTTCATAAAGGTCAAAAAGAAAAACATAACCGGTATACAGCTGCTTTGATTGATGCCTTCCCCTCCATTACAAGCTTTGATTATTTCATCGTACATGATGTCAACCCAAGCAATTACACATCCCAGCACGGCCTGAATGGATGAACAGTTGCTTGCTAATGTTTTAAATATTGATTTTCTTTGTATACAGCTTTGGCAATGTCGTTTCTAATAAGAGACAAGCCAATACAGGGAGTAAATCAAATGGAGCTGAGTCAACATGGAGGGGAGGGGGGATCACATGAGCGGGACACTGGAGGGGATGACAGAGACATGACAGGAAGTAAATTATAGGTCAGATTAGCATAACCAAAGTGCCTCATGCAGGCACATCGCTAGGCTGATATGTTGATATGTCACGCTTGATCTATGAACGTGTGTGTGTGGCAAGTCATTAAACCCTGGTGATAGCTGTGTTTGCATCAGGAGGTGTGTAACGTGGACATGTGTAACAGAGATAATCGCCTTCATATAAATTACTGTGGAGACTCACACGTGCACAGTACACAAATACTGAGATGCACACAACTTTAGGTCTAAACAACTCTGAAAAGTGATTGAACAGTTGCAGAGTGATGTAGTTAAAAGGACACAATATGTATATTTGAAGAATGCGTTTTCAAATTTAGAGTTTTGAATCAGATTTGTCTTTCATTGTCTCATTGTGGGCAAATCAAATCAACAGGCATTACTTTAAGACCCGTCTCTTTTGAAATAAGAAAAGGGGCTCTAACATTACTCTAAAGATTAAAGGGGCCCTATTACGCTCATTGCCGGTTCATACAGTATGTGTATGTAGTGTCTCTACTGTGACATGTCTCCATGCTTTAATGTTCAAAAAGCTCTTTATTCTTCTCATACTGCCTGTGCTGCAGCACCTCTTTTCACCCTCTGTCTGAAACCAGAGCCCGGTCTGCTCTGATTGGTTAGCTGGTCAAATGCTTAGAGTTGTCCCGCGCCATAGCCTACTACGTACAAATTGGACTGCTTGCCAATCGAAGGGTGAGGGTTATACCTATACAACACACTACAGGATAGTGCTCTGATGATATCACCTGTTCATATTTCTAGTCCCTACAGTGTCAATCATGAGGTCAATCATGAGGTCAATCATGAGGTCAATCATGAGGTCAATCATGAGGTCAATCATGAGGTCAATCATGAGGTCAATCATGAGGTCAATAATCAGGTCTATTTGCATTGCACTTCTCTTTATTGCTACACCCCTCCTGCTTAGCAAAACCATTTTTTTAATTCACATGTAAAAAATGGGAATTAAACTTTATGAGAACTCACTTGCAGACACAGAAAGATAATAATTTAAAAAAAGCATTGAGCCTTCCAGGATAAATGAACATGGCGGCTTTTTGTTTGTTTGTTTGTTAAAAAACGTATCGTCTGCATAGAGACTAATCGATCACATTTTCTCTTTTTAAAATAAAACATGTCAGACAGTGTGTGTTTTTTCTTGCAGATTGGAATAAAAGGTGTGGGGGAAATTGCATTGTTTACAAGACTTTTTCAAAGGCAGACAGAAACTCAAATGAACAAAGACAAAGTGAGTATTTGTCTGATTGTCAGCAACATGCTCTCAATTTTGGAAGTTTTTGGCGAGTGAATTGAGTGGGAGAATTGAGGACAAAGGAGAAGAAAACGAGCGAGTCAACAAAAGGAAGGCCAGTGAAGTGATGCAGAGGAGATGCAGGCAGATATGAATCAAATGTAGTGAGGGAGAGCAGGAAGAGGAGAGATGGCCATGGCTCAGTGAGAGTATGACCCTTGGCCTTGGGTCCCTGCCATACACTTTCCCCTCGTTTCCTCTGATAAAGAAAGAGCAGAACCAGACCTCCCTTCAATTCATTCACTCATTTCCTGTCTTTTTCGTTATCTATTTTCCCTCCATCCCAGCCTATGCTTGTCATCTTCAGTCTTCACTTTTATCCACATATTTATACGCTCATGGTTCATGGAACCTATGAACTTTGGAAGAAAAAAGGAGCTGGCCAATGGGAACTGGCCAATGGGAAATCCTGTCCATCCCAAAGGGTAAGTATTTTTTTCCCCCCCGCCTCTACATGCCTGCAGTTCTCTGAGACCTTTTCCTCTATCTGTAAAAGCATTATCAGGAAGGAAATCACATGTTTGTTGTAATAAATAACTGAAGGCTGCTGCACATGTATAATCATCAAGCTATATAAATAACTGGGAAAAAAGGAGATACTGTGGAATGATGGTCAAATGCTATGCTACTGAACATTAGCACGTCTGTATCAAAACCACTAGCATGTTGCACCAATCAAATACAAGCTTGTGTTCAAATTAAACATTTTAAGCAACATGACCAGATAAAAAGTACTTTAGGTAATAATTACATCATTCAGCTTTGTGTCATTTATGCCGGCGCCTCGTACTTGTAAACTAATCTGCATTCCCAGTGTCTGTGGAGCTGGCCATCTCCGCAGCGGCGTTGCCGGCATGCTGAGGACGCTAATGGTTTGTTATGTTTAGCCTGACTTGCATCATTACCGTAGAGTCAACAGCTCAGATTGAGGCACAGTGGAGCGTTCAGTCGACGTGTTTTCACGGCAGACAAATGTGGCCTCACACAGACCTGACATCTGCTAGCTGTTGTGTGCATTGTAGACATGTAATTCCTGCCGTCTGCCTACTCTATCATTCCTCTACACAGCAAGTCATCGAGGAGATGCTGAAGCTTATTCAGACACAAATACGGGTGTGACTGAAGAGCCCAAACTGTGCGTTAACCCTATGTCCAGAACTACAAATAGTTGATGCATACATGTGACTGAGTGTATATTTAAACACATTTTGAACAGCATCTTAGCCAGATAAACCACACTTCAAAGGACAATTACAAATTAGGTTCATGCCCATTTACAGATAACACTTTCCTAATTGGTCACTTCCTAGACAACTTCATTAATAGACAGAGCTTTGAGCTAGACACTACAGAAACAAAAACGACAAATGTAGGTGATCATTTTACTTATGTTGTCTATTCAAGTCTGTAGATGTCTACTATAATTATTTAACATTCAGTGTTTCTGAACAACACAATATTGTTAATGATGTACTTTATCCCACATGACTCAAATGAATACTGGGTCCATCTCAGGTTGGTCTCAGTATTACAATACCAAACAAAATAGTTTTGATTGATTTTAACAATCAATACATTTTCATTTAACAAAAGAAGATAAACTTGACTAAGTCTCACGTAAATAAAGTATTAATAGCCCATCATAAAATATATGAAAGCAATGTGTCATATTAGCAAGGTCTGATTTAAGTGTTTAAATGTACTTGAAACCTCATCAACAGAACACAGACAGTTTAAACATCTAACCACCCAACTTAATGTGTTCATAAAGGACAGCACTGTCTTCCATATTTGTTGGACTAATGAATTGGATTAATCATGTCATCAGGATGACTGATTTGTGACCTGGAGGGTTATATAGTGTTAATATAAATGTGTAAGTCGGTGTAATAATCCTTTCCTGTGTCTCTAACATGAGGTGACCTGCAGAAGTCTTTTATTAGAGCTTTCACCTGCTCGCCGTAACATGTCCCTGTTGGCCTACTGCACCTCTGACCGCGCTATTATTATTACAAGCTATAGCTCATAGTCTGGACACTGTACATAGCATTATACACACACACACACACATGCACAAACACGCACACCTTTGTTCTATTTCCAGGGGGTTAGACAAGGACAGAGTCCCCTGTGTTGTCCTTGCAGAAGACCTCTGCTGTACACAGGCACAGGATGGCCCCTGGCAACACACACACACACACACACACACACACACACACACACACACACACACACACACACACACACACACACACACACACACACACACACACACACACACACACACACACACACACACACACACACACACACACACACACACACACACACCACACACACACACACACACACACACACACACACACACACACACACACACACACACACACACACACACACACACACACACACACACACACACACACACACACACACACACACACACACACACACACACACACACCCCTGACAAACTCTTGCTGGGTGAATGATGATGGGGTGATGAGGGAAAGAGAGGGGCAAGTGAGATGAAGAGAAAGGAGAGGAGATGGGGAGAGGGAAAAGACAAAAGGGAAGGGGGGGTGAGGGAAGAGAGACATAGGGTAAGGCTAAGGGTCAACAGCGCTCTTGTCGCCACTAATGAGCCTCGATCCAGGAAGAGAGCTGGCGAGCGAGGGAGACAGCGTGAACTGGTTTCAGAAGATGTGGCACTGGGAACAGTAACAGGGCACACATGCATCCCAGACACTGAGATGTTAGTCACCTTCTATGTGGGTTTGTCTTATTTTTCTATAATGTTGCACTGACAACAGGCTCATTATCACCTTAAAGGCTGTAATCAGCTTATTTTAAATGTTTGATTTATCTGCTGATAATTCTTTAGGGTTATTTGATTGATCACTATCAAAAAATAGTGAAAAATGCCCATCCTAGTAGCTCAAATTACAAAGTGATGTCTATAAATGTCTATTTTGTTGTCCAAAAATCTAAGATATTCAATTAAATATGATATAAACTTTAAAAAAGGAAAGTCTTTGAGAAGCTG